CTATAACTGGTTGCTGATCGTTTTCGTGCCAGAGCATCTGCTTTTCCATTTCCTTCAATTTCTTTATGCTCTGGCACTCATTTCACGGTTACCTTGTTGGCCATACTTAGATTTTTGAGGTTTTCCAAGGATTCCCAGATAAATTTTTATTTTATTTCGCAATTGTTGAATACTTTAATCGACGCTTGACTATCTGAGCAGGTAAGGATATTTTTACCTATGTATCCCCTCCTTAAGTTTTCTCTTAGATAGGAGTCGATGGCATAGATTTCTGCTTGGAATACAGTGGAGTGGTGTATTCTCCCAGAGGTTCACTGATGTTGCATCTTGGAGTTTGTCCATATATTCCAGTGCCGGTTCCAGTTCCTGTTTTGGAGACGTCAGTAAACCAGACAAATTTCTTGTTTAGGTGTTACCCTAGTTTTTCCTACTGGAACAATCTTGATGGCAAAGGGTTTTTCGAAGGATTTTTTCGGCATCATATAGTTGCTTCCCATGATTAAAATCGAGTTTATGATTAGTTTAGTGATTGCCGCACGTCCATTTGGTTTTGGGTTCCAGTTTTTGTTCAGCTGGAGACGATAAGCCCCGATTCTAGCCTCCGCTTTGACGATAAGGTCAATTAGTGGTAGGTTAAGGATCGTTTCCATACTTGCCGTCGGTGTGCATTTCTGTGCACCGATGATACAGAGCAAATCTCTGAATTTTGGCTAGCTCCAGATTTGCTTGTCTTTGGTTTACTTTAAGCCTCCATACAAATGCACCATTTATGTTATTATTTTTCTTAAAATCGTTGTGTATATCCAGTGTACAACTGACGGTTTTAGTAGTTTTTTCAATCGCCCTTTTTGTGACGTCATCGTGCTCTTGGTGGTTATCTTTTGATTGTGTTGGTTCCATGTCAGCTTCCTATCTAGGATGACGCCCAAAAATTTAGATTCCCTGGAAAACTCCAAGTTTTGGACTAGACTGGGGGGTATTGTTTCCTCCAGAAAGGAATTTTGTTTTGGAGGGGTTGACGCGAAGTTGCTTCCCCGTGCACCATTTCTCAATGAGTTCTAAGGCGTCCTGCATGAGGTTTGATACCGTCCTGGGGCCTGATTCTCGTCCCAGGTAGAGGAGAACTCCCCGAGAGAACAAATTTTTCGTCTTTATCATTTTTGTTCACTTTTCGATTACGTTGGCAAGAACAAAAAATTCGTTCTCTCGGAAAGCTCTCCTTTCTCTGAGACGAGAATCGGGCTCATGTGGTAAATCCGCCCCTAATGGCAACAACATTTGCATATGGTATCATTAATCGCATGTTGCTCAGTAGCTCTGACGACAGAGTTGAAGCAGGTGTGGTCAAAGGCTCCTTCTATATCAAGGAATGCCACTAGTACGATTTCCGTGCTTTCTAGCGAATTCTCTACTCATCACCAGTCGGTGTAGAGCTAATTCACATGATTTGCTTGGTTGAAAGACATGTTTGTTTTGGTGAAGTGGCCTCTGTTTCAATGAGGTTTTCCTGATGTGCTTTTCAACACAGAAACTAGTCTGTCACCTTTAACATAAAAGACGATAAGCTGATCGGCCTGTATAACCCGGCCTGAAATGGATCTTTGCCAGGTTTTGGGATAATGACTACTTTTTTTTTCTCCAGGACCCAGGAATATAGTCTGTTGCCAGACTGGCTCTGCACAGTCTGCAGAGGTATGGTGCTATAAAGTCCCCCGCCTATTGTAAGAGAGCCGGTATTATTCCATCTGGTCCCAGCGATTTGACGCTGTCAAATGAGTCTATTGCCACTTTTGTTCGCGGGTGGTTTGCTTCGATTTTGCGCAGTTTTCACGACACGAGGTTTGTACTGCTTCGTGCAATTGCAGGCATACCTCCTCCATATCTTTTTTTGTTTTAATTACCGTTTTAATGTTAGTCAGGTTTAATCTTAGGTCCTGTCGGAATTTCTCCCAATCAGTATTACGAGGGTTTTGATATTGTCACGCTTAGGTTGGTGGTGGTCAGCGGTGCCACCACTTTTACTTCGCTTGGCTGCGTCCACTAAGGGTTTATCTGAAAAGAGAGGATATGGGGGGAAGGAACACCACCACGAATATTTAATTTGTTTTATTACTAAACCTTAATTACACCTTATAGTTCAAGGAGATTTACCAAAATCCTAACACCGCAGATGTTCGTCCCTGGTGGACCATGTTATCGATTGTCAACTTGAAATGTAAGAATGTTTAATGTTTAATGTAACCCAAGATGCACTAAAAGAACGGGCACCCTAAGGGCATAGTTCTCGTAGGTCTAAACTTGGGGACGCTGTGACACGGCTGCTATAGACGAGATCTTCATCCAAAAGTTTCACAGTCTCGACTATACCTAGTCGTACCCAGCTAAGAAGGCAGGTCTTTAGACTCGCACTTTATCAGGCATGAAGCAGTCCAGACCAACCTTGCCTTGCATTGCCGCAGTGCGTGAATTTATATTGAAATTATTGCTGGCATAAGCAAACTCGGTCTGTTTTTAATAGTCCGGGGTGACTTCCTTTGGAAATTTACTTAATTTATGTAATGCGTGGGCTTGTGTACGTTTATGAGTTGACAATATACACTCTCTGGTTTATCACGTTTGATTTCCATTTGAATGTAGGTACACATGATCCGAGAGACGCAGTTCGTTAATAGAAGTTATAATGCGCTCCTCAGTGTTCCCTTCTTGATAGTCAAGCTTCATTGCTCCTACGTCTCCAAAACAAAAATTTGTCATTTTTATTGCATTAATATTGGTGTTTGGGGTTTAGTTTTGGGGTTACCATCTTCAACCATTCTGCAGCCTCGTTGTGTGCGCAATGGAAGTGAACCATTGGTTCCTGTGATGACACATTGCTATAAGTATCCCCATTTAGTTTACTGGGTTTTGTTGCATCTCGATTATGTTTCGCAATTTTTTGAGGGTTTTGTGAGGGTGATGGTGTTGATCCCCCTGAGCGATCTCTCTTGATCTTCTTCAACTGCTGGTTCACAGTTGCTGTTGGAGTTCGTTGTGCTCCAGCGTTATCAGAGTTATGTGCCTTGTTTCTGTTTAGGAGTTTGATGGATTTTATATTTGCTCGTGGTTTGCGAGGTATAATAGATTGCTCTTTGGATTAGGCCCGTTCGATAGCTCTCTGGCGTTTCTGGACACCAGAGTTTAGCTTGTTCATCTTCAGTCTGTTGATTTGAGACCCAAGACTCCTCACACAATGGATTACTTCTGTATCAAGTGTTGACGATAATAAAGTTCAAACTACATACCGCTTGAAGATAAAAGTGATTTGGTATGTGAGAGAGTGCGAGATTTTAATAATTGCGAAACATGTGATGAACTCGTTATTTCTGGCAGTAATAATTATTATACTCATCATATTATTTTGCAGTGTCATGGTTCATGATAGAGGATTCGACATATTTTTACAGATTTGTTTATTTAAGGAATAGAAATCATGATTTCGAAGAGATCAGATTAGATTATGTATAGGGGTTCAGGTCCAATAACTAGACCTGAATACATCTATTGTGCTTCTCCCCCAGATTAAGATTCTTCGCGAATCTTATTATTTTCCTGGGATTGATTCTTTCAACATCCGCAAATGCCATATATATCTGCTCCAGATGGATGAGTTTTCTGTGACATAACTGCAACATTTGCAGATTATACAGGGTGTCCGGAAAGTCAACAATAGTACTGAAAGGGCTGTTGGAACAAATCATAAGCATCCAGAAAAACATAATATGACCTTAGTAAAAAATCGATGGTTTTCGAGATATTGCCACTTGAATGAAATTTGTTAAACTCGTCGTCTTGGATCACCTGGCTAATGATTTTTGGCAGATTCGGAAGAAGAAGCGGCAAAGGTCTGGTTCAGCTTTACCCATCTTTTTTAGGTGTTACCTAAGAGGGCAGTGACCGGTGAGGAATCCTGTTATGGGCCTTAAGTCTGGTTTCCTGAGTTAAAGTAGTTATTCTGTCTTTGTGGACTTTGGCGAGATGAATTGCTTCGCTTATCCAAGTTCTGGAATCATGTTCCAGTGGGAGGTTTGTTGGCCTCTTCGCACTTTTGAGTTCAGTCCTCACATGGCTTTTTGTCAGGCCAAAGAAGAGTTCTGGACTAAGGAGTGGTGACGCGGCGCCCTCTCTTGCAAGCCGGTGTGCTATTTCATTTCCTTCTATATTTTGATACTCCTGGTAGTCATGCTAGAGTAACTCTATTAGGGTTCGTCAGTTGCTTTAGGAGTTGCTGATATAGCTTTTAATAGCTTTAAGTGCTGCTCGACATGGGTCCGCTTCAAGACACTTTCTGGCACAGAGTTCTATTGCAATCTCAAAGGGAATTTCATACTTTTTCCATGAATGAAATTGTTTTGAAGCATTTCATGTTGTCAATATATTAGTTCAACCTAGTATAGTCAAGTTTGGACACTATTTTACAAAAAGATATATTACAGGACGATTAAAGAAATTTTTGAGGTTCAGCATTCAAACTTGGCGTTTCATCAAATGAAATAATTTATTATAATAATAAAAAATAATAATAATAATAAAAAAACTCTAATTACCTATCCCCATTTATGAACAACGAAAAAACTATGTAGAAATGCACCCTTTTGATTGTTCTTTTCCAAATAGATTATGCAGAACTTCTGGTAAAAAATTAAACTGAAACTGACTCACCTCAGTCAGTTTTTAACTTTGAAGGTCAACAAAGTTAAAAAAAAAAATTTCCTCTTTCACCTAGAAATAGCTTGAAGTAGATAATTTCTAGCAAATTTTTTTAAAGCTATTTTCGGCACCCACGGTTTCATTAAATACTTGACAGGAAAAACGCACCTATAATTAAGTGCAAAACCTTGAGAGTATAATTATAGAAAATGCGGCAGTTTCTCTCTTTGTGTTATATTATTTACACCTTTACTCTAAAGTAGTTGTTATTGAATTCCTAGGATAAAATTGAAACGAAAGTAATTCTTTTTCAGCTTCTCAAAATTCAATTTGCGTCACGTCCCAAGTAACGGATGTTACAATAGAAAGAATTGATGGGTCTCTGGGAATAACTTTGAGGGGCGGCTACGTCCCTGAACACCCTCACATGAGTCGTCCCTTGATCATCACACATGTCAGGCCTAATGGACCGGCCCATAGGTGAGAAAAAAATATATATTTAAGTTCAATTTTTTTAGTACACTCTTGATAGTCTAAGAGCCAGTGGCCGGCAGACTTACATTATTTTAACAAACCTTATATTTTCTTCACTTATTCTCCTATATCGGCCGTACATGATATGGGAACTATATAGTCTGCCCGGCATTTTCTATAGAGCCACTCAGGTACTAAAGGCAAACTCACAAACATATGCTCTTCTGATGATGCCACTTACTGTATGATCGGTTTTACAAAATAAACAAATTGAATACCTACCTTTAATAAATTGTGAACTTTAAAGGAGACTATACACATTCATTGAGTGACTGATTCGAAGACACCTTGTATACAAGTAAAAATTCGTCCAAAATGTTAGCAAGTAAAAAAAATTATTCTTTTAGGACCTGTTGATTGCAGCAAATATCAAGAAATTGAGAAGACAATTGTTTTATATTTTACAAATTATGATGTTACTTACTGAAAAAATGGATGACAAAAAAACCTCGAAATTGTTTTTTTGGAATTATATTGCAGAGGTGATATAAAGCCTTCAAAGTAGCTCAACATTTATTTTCCGTCCTTGACACTTTCTTTTCTGTAGAAAATGGCCAAACTATGCAAAACTAGAAATTTCAAGTTTAGAGTATCCTCGCACACCCTGTATGCTTTTTATAAAGCTTTTTTATGTCAATTAGTTTTAACTGTGATCATAGCAAGTGAATTTAAACTAGCGGATCCTAGGTTACTGCTTAGTAGTTCACGATTGGTTTGAAGCTCTAGGTGTCATTATAACACTAAATTTGCATTATTTTATAAACAAAAAAAGATATAAGAAAAAATCCAAACACGGTTCGAGGTATGAACATAATAATCATTCTGGTATGCCTAGAAAAAATATATAAAAATAATTGTAGAAATGGGGTGGCAACAAAAATTTTGAATTTTTACCACACTTCCTATAGCACCCTGTATAAAAAAACACTCAAATTCTATATTTTTTTGTCTAAAGCAGATGATTAACAAGGAATCGCTTTCAAAAATAGTGAAAACGGCTGTCGCGTCTCAAAAATTGGTGAAATTTATGCTTGGAACGAACTTATTGTTGAGTAGTTTACAATATATTGGTTTAAATCTGTAAAAATTTCGACATGGTTCTCATATATGTCTAGTTTGGTGAGTGTGCATTTTTCAGTTTTCTCCAGGAACAGGATTTCTTTTTCACAAGATGCGTCGAAGTTTGTGACTGTGATTAGCTGACTAGAGCAATGGTATGGTTTACTTTGGGTACATATGCCACTCAAGGTTTTTATCAGGTCGTCAGATTTTAAAATATATCGTATATTAGGCGAATTCTGATTCATATGCAATAGGAATTGGCAGGAGATGAAATAAGTTAAATTTAGTCTCAAAATCTATTGGTAATAGAGAATTATGGCACTTTTAAAATAGTGATCGATTTTATTACTGATCGGCCTTATTTAATTACTGACAGTCACTATTTCTCATGAATAAAAAGAATTATGGCACTACATGTTCAATTGGCACTATTTTGATCATTTTTTCGTGTCAGTGTCGCATTGTTTACTCAATTGTAATGGAAGAAAAGTTATAAACTGCCATTCTAGGCTATTTATAGGGAGTGCAAATGATGTTTTTCGGTTTTATCCATTCACAAAACCCATACTAAAAATATAAACAAATTATGTTAGGTTAGAATCTGAAAAATTCGTGGACAACTGACATTTGATTTATATTGCGCATGTGTAAAAAAATAGTGAAATAAATACTGCCTTTCACTATCCAATCACAAATAAGGATGATCCTTATTTTATTACTGACCGCCACTATTCTTAGTCACAAAATACGCATGCTTAGGTGTTAATAATGTCAAAATAAGAATGTTTTTATTAGTGATCGTCGCTATTTGAAGGTGCCATAATTCTCTATTGACAGGAAATAAATTATCTTATTTGCCTCTATTTTACAATTAATTTTTATCATGCTTTCAAAATCTAGTATGTTTTTACCTATTTTATATCAAATGCAAATTGATTTTTATAGTGATTGGAAAGTTTTTTCAAATTTGTTCAAATACTGTATCAGGAATAGTGGACGTTAATTCTCTTGTCTCATTAGTTTTTGAATTAATTTTTTCTTTTTGTTTTTGAATGTTTTCGTTGATTTTTTGATGAAGAATTTTGACTTCATCGCGGTGATAAGATATGTAGTCGTTTATAAGTTTTGTGTTTATTTCTAGATCGAAAGGGGAATTATTCTCTAAGCGTCCTGTGAATATCTCATAAGGCTTCAGCTTTGTTACTGTGTGAATGGTGTTATTGTAAACTAATAATGCGTAGTTAACTTTGCACTCTGTATCATCATTTTTGTAGATACTCTTTCTGCTTGTTTAGTAGTCGAATATGCTCTATGATAGTTGACTGGAATCTTTCAATTAGACCGTTGGATTTTGGATGTTGAGAACTTATGAAGTGTATGTTTATTTTGTGTATTTTCAATATATTTTTTACAGCCGATTTTTTTATTCCGAGTCCGTTGTCCGAAATAATTTGCTTTGAGATACAATTATGAGTGAAAAATTTTATGATTTTTTATCCAACCTATATAAAGGTTTGAATGGATTTCTGCTGGTTGGGCCAATAATAGTTTTTCTTTATACGCTTTCTGTAGAGTTTCCTCGATTCCACGATGATTTGTTTTCCCCTCGTGGTATAGCTCGGAGAATTTCATGTTAGTCAAGGACATCAATGAATTTTTTGTTGCATTTCACCATCTGAATTTCAGAGTTTTTAAAATGTTTTTATAATATTGAACTAATTTTTTTATAGATTGGGTCTTCAAAGTATTAGACCGTGAGATAGGGCCTGTTTAGTGGAGTCATTTTTTTTTGTCTGGCATTTTGAGGGATGAATGTGGCTAGTTAGCTGATGAGAATATGGGTGGTTTCAGTGCTTGCCACCTGTTCGAAATGTCAACAGAATTTTTCGCCGGAAAACTCGACTTCGAACTGGGATTACCGTCTGGCGATTTTTCAGCGATATTTTCATAACAAAACCTTTCATTCTCTCGATTAACAGACAAAAAGTAAACACGGAAGGTTGTTTTCTTTTCTCTTGGAAGTTGACACTCATCCCCACTTTTTCAGCTATTGAAAAGCATCTGGTATTTTTTATGGGTGAATTATTTATCAATGTCAATATTTTATTTAGAAGCCAAAAAATTTGAGATCATTAAAAAAAAATCCTCATGTAAATCAATTTTTTTCTTCTGCAAATTTTCGAACGGGCGGCAGGCATTAAAATCATCCATATTCTCATCAGCTTAGTAGCCACATTCAGCCCTCAAAATGCCAGACAAAAAAAAATGACTCCACTAAACAGGCCCTATCTCACAGTCTATATAGATAATATTTAATTCCTGGTGAACCATTTCTTTAATAAAGTTTTAATTTCTTATACAGCATTATTTTTTGAAAATTGCGCATGATTTTTTTTTTTTTGCTTTTGTGGAACATTATTTTGGAAGGTTGTGCTGGCAAGAAGTTAACTTCTGAAATTATTATTTGGTGGTATCCGACATTTACTGGGCCTTCGACTATTGAGATGTCTACAATGGGGTTTTCAACATCCGAGTGGATAGTTACACGTCTCCTATCCTCTATAGCATTTCTCATATTATCAATGTCTCCTGGCTCCGCGATTATTGATGCAATTTCCTGATGATTTTGATGTAGAGGGTTTTCCCAGTCATGCTTTCCTTGAATTGGTTCACAATGTATTTAGATTAAAAGATTTTTGTTCCTGAGGCTGAGCATCGTTGGCATTTAATTCAATCCTTGAGAGAGCATCTGCATTTTTGTTAAGTAGCCCTTTCTTGTATATAATTTCATAGTCGAATGCCTCTAGTTTAAGTCTCCATCTTACCATTTTAGAACTCAGTTCTTTTGAGGAAAAGAGCCATTATAGCGGCTTGTGGTCTGTGACAATTTTGAACTTTCATCCAAAAAAATATAGTCCAGTGAAAATATTTCACGGCCCATATTATCGCGAAAAGCTCTTTCTCGATGGTAGAATAGTTGGTATCACTAGTGTTTAGGGTTCTACTAGCATATGTTACTGGTGGGTCTGATCCTATTTTTCCGAGTATTTTTCCTTGTGAAAGAACGGCACCTATGGCGAAATTACTGGCATCAGTTGTACCAATAAATGATTCTAAAATGTTGGGACATTGTAAAATTTGTCCATTAGTTATTCGACATATTTCAGGTATTCAGAGTCTTTGATGTTGATGATTGCATCTTTCTTCAGGCAGCTTGTGACGGGTTTGGTAATTTTTGCAAAACCTTTTATAAATTTCCTGTAATATCCCAATAATCCTAAAAATTATTATATTTCTTTGGGTGTTTTGGGGATGGGATATTTTTGAATGGCTCTTATCTTTTCTGGGTTCAGTTTTACGCCTTCTGGTGTTACTATGTTTCCCAGATATGCTACTTCTACTACCTGGTAAAAAGAGGAGCTTCAATCTTGTCAGATATTCCTGAAGGCTTGTACTAATGATGATAATATCGTCCATATACACTGCACAAATTTCGTTGCAATACTCTCGAAGAATGTTGTCGATGATCCTTTGGAAGGTAGCAGGAGCGTTTCGTAGTCCAAATGGCATTCTTAAAAACTCATAATGACCATTTTCCGTGTAAAACGCCGTCTTTTGAATATGTTCTTCTGCCCTTTCTATCTGGTGAAATCCAGACGCCAGATCAAGAGTTGTGAAGTACTGACAGCGCCCTAGTTTGTCTAGTAGTTCATTTATATTAGTAATGGGATAGCGATCTCCTAATGTCTTCATGTTTACTTTTCTAAAGTCTATGACAATTCTCCATTTTTTTTCGTCCTGATGCATCTGCTTTTTTGGGAAGGATCCATATGGAGGATGACCATGGGGAATGTCATGATCTGATTATCTTCTGGTCCAGCATT